TCTGACCCCAGCCTTGGCCTCCAGTGGGTGATCATGTGCCTGGCCACTCTCTCTCCACTCTTATCTCTGCTACCTGCCCAGCGCTGCCTTCTGGCCCAGACTGGGCCCCTGCTCCTTTGTCCTTTGGACTGAGGTGGGGACAGGCTTCTCTCTCTGGTACAAAAGGTGGTACAGGGCCCCATAGAGGTCAGGCCCAACCTGGCCAGATTGCTGGCCAGAGGTGTAGGAGGGAGTCCTGTTCTAAAAATCCCCGAGGGTGCAGTGGGGGCTGAGGGCTCCTTCAGGTCAAATGCTCAGGACGGGTTCCTTAGAGCCAGATAGTTACATAACACATCCCAGCTCAGGGCTAGCCCTGAGCTACATATGAGCAGGTACACCAGCAGGTACTCACACTATGGTGGCCAGGGGCCTGGAGCTCCATGGGACGGCAGGTGGGCATCTCTTCTCCGACTGGAGTCATGTTCTCTTAGCTTCATTCCTGTCTCTTTCTCTGACTAGGTTCATGGATTTGTATGTGCTGGCTGTAGCTTTGTGTGGTCAAGTCCTGTGATGGCTGCTGACGTCTTGGGTCTGTTGCTGTATGCCAGCCCTGAGCTCCTCCGAAGATACACCCAAGACTCACTCATGGTGCCAAAGTGGCGCTGGGCCTTGTGCTGTTATTTTGTGCTATAGACTCCATGGACCACAGGCTGAGTAATTAGAGGGCACCGGGGGGTGCTGACAACCAGGGGTAGATCTGTCTGTGGTGGCCTTGCACCTAACGGTGTGGCTGGTTGTGGTATGTGGCTTACCACAGGGTGGTAGGAAGTAGGATCAGACTCCAGGATTCTGGGGCATGTGCTGTCTGCATCCCCCAACCCCCAGCCTAGCAAGCTTCCTGGACGCCCAGCCTCTGTTCTTCTGCACAAAGGTGGCCACTCAGAGTTCCTAGTAGCTCAGCCATGTCTCAGGGCACTGTGGGTACAATTTTATGATGTTTGATGTTCATCTTCCCTGAAGAAATTAAGAGGAGGGTGACATTTGCCCAGGCTACCAGCAGGAGGAGGGGCTTGGCGGAGGATTTCTGCCCCAGGCACTCCACTTTATAACACTGGGCAAGCGGAGAGCTATGAAATTTGATTTCACTCCTCTAGGACAGAACAGGGGGTTGCGATTTCATTCCTAGTGTTATGACAAAGCCACTTGCTTGGTAGCTTAACAGAAACTTCTTTAATGTCTCTGGCAATAATAAAATCCCCTAGTTCTCAGCCACTGTGGGCATTCAGCTCAATTACATTTGAGCACAAGGTGGGCAGGTCCACACCTACCACAGATGGGTTTGTCATTCAAAGTAGATGGGGAGAGCCCAGGGGGGGCAAAGAGTGAGCCTGTGGGCCGGTCCCACCCTAGCTTCTGTGCCCAGGTGAAGCCATACACATTTACCTAGGGTGCCTCTCCAAACCCAAGGCTTCCTCTGGATGGATGTGTTAGCATGCATGGCTGTAATCCTCAGCACTCCGGAGTCAGAGGCAGGAGTTCACGGCTAGCTTGGGCTGTGAGACTCCATCTTTATTTTTAAAATTTAGGAGTCACCTTGCATCATCATCATCATCCTCACTAAACTTGGAAAGATACAGATTAGCACACGACTGTCCAAGGAAGAAATGCGAATTCTCAAGTGATCTTATTTTGTGTGCGTGGTATATGTCGTTTGTGTATGGGCATGTTCATACATGTGGGGGCAGATGTCGGGTGTCCTGTTCTGTCATTCCCCTCCTTATTTTTCTTGAGACAGGGTCTCTCCCTGAGTCTGAGTCTGGAGCTAGACTAGCAGCCAGCGAGCCCCGTGATCCTCCTGTCTCTGTCCCTCAGGTCGGGAAAGGAGCTCCACGTGTGGCCGTATCTGCTGTTATATAGGTGCTGTAAATTTGCTGGGGTCCTTATGTTTGCACACTGAGCCACTCCTTAGCCCTAAATGTTCCTTTTAAAAAGAAACACAAGGAGGGGGAGGAGGAGGAGGAGGAAGAGAAAGAGGAAAAAGAAGATGAAGAAAAAGGTCCAGTAGCAGTGGTGTACACCTTTAATCCCAGCACTCAAGAGGCAGAGGCAAGCAGTTCTCTATGAGTTCAAGGCAAGCCTGGTCTACATAGTGAGTTCTAGGCAAGCCAGGGCTACATAGTGAGACCCTGTCTCAAAAAAAAGTCAATCAATCATCCAATCAATAATTAAAATAAATAAGAAGGGTCAGGGCGATAGATCAATGGCTAACGTGCTTGCTACACAAGCATGAAAGTCCAAGTTCAATCCCCAGGTCCTCCATGAAAAGGTAGGTACAGTGTTAACACTTGTGATCACAGTGCAGGGGAGACTGAGGCAAGCAGAACACTCAGGCTCACTGGCCAGCCCACCTAGTTTAGTGACTTCCTGGCCAGTAAAACAAAACAGAATAAAACAAACCAGTGATGGCTCCTGCAGAATGACACCCAATGTTGACCTCTGGCCTCTAAATGCGCATGCATGCCCAAAAACCGATGGGAGTTTCCTCCCAAAGGCACCATGATGTCATCATGACAAGATGTTCAGGGAGCCCTGTGGAGGACTAACATGCTCACACTGCAGACCCCTCCACATACGTGCACACACTCATACAGCACACACACATATGCACACACCCAAACTGCATACACACACACACATATGCACACACCCATACTGCACACACACACATGTGCACACACTCATACAGCATACACACACGCATGTGCACACACCCAAACTGCATACACACATGTGCACACACTCAAACAGCATACACACACATGTGCACACACTCATACAGCATACACATACACATGCGCACACATCCATACTGCACACTCATACAGCATACATACACGTACACACACCCATACTGCATACACATCTATGCATGCACCCATACTGCATATACACACACACACACGTGCACACACCCATACTGCACACACTCATACAGTACATACACACATGTACACACACCCATACTGCACACACATATGCACACACCCACACTGCATACACATACACACACTGCAGTTTATCACCAGAAGAAATAAATGGTTTGGTATCCACAGGGGATGAGAAATTACAACCGGCCTGTAATTTACAGAGGACATAAAAACACTACTCAACACAGTGAGTTCCCTTCAAGTAAGGATTTTATAGTTTCTATAAAAATGACGCACACCTGCTATAAGATGTAATTGTGACGATTCCAGGAAGGAACCAAGCACCCTCCAACTCTGGCCCCCAAAGCTGTCAATGTTGTTCCACTGTGTTCCTGGCATCCCGGTGGAGACAGGTGGACGCACTAGAGGATGGAGGCGCCATGATGTGTTGCAATGTCAACCTCAGCGGCTCTCGACTGTCAAGTCCGTTCATTTTGTCGTTTGCTGACAAGATGTACCAAAGGCTTGGAAAGTGGCAGGAAACTTCACCCTGGCACTTGGGAGGTGGAAGCAGAGTCCAGGGCCAGCCTTGGCTACAGAGTGAACCCTCTCTCCATAAATAAAACAGTGTGACTGAGGATATGGCTCAGTCACCAGAGTGCTTGCCAGCATCCCAGTGAGTGAGCTTGGCTGCTCTAACACCACCATTGTGACCAGCGCTGTGGTGACACAGTGCACCATGTAGCTGGGCTTAGTCAGTGTGTGCAAACAAGCAGACCCTGGTGGACATGACTGTGGGTTCAACCAAGAAGAGGCCTTTCTATGTGACAGAACACAAGGCTCTCAGGCACTCACATCCAGTGGGGCAAGGGTAAACTGTCCCCCAGGTCAGCAGACCCTGCAGGCCTTGCAATACCAGAGCTGCTGCTTAAGACCAACACGAATATGCCAAGTCTTCTTCCCATCCCTGTCTCTCCCTCTCTTCTCCCCCTTCCTCTCCATTTCTCCTTCCCTCCCTCCCTCCCTCCCTCTCCCTCCCACCCACTCCCCTCACCCCCATAGGGTCTCTCTATGTAGTCCTGGGTGTCCTACAACTTGCTCTGTGGACGAGGCTGGCCTCAAACTCAGAGATCCACCTACCTCTGCTTCGAATGCTAAAAGTGCACCACAGTACCTGCCCTCCACCCCACCCACCCTGCCCTTCACCGTCCTTCACCAGTCAGGCAGGAGCCAGGACAAGCAGGGTGGGACAGCCCTTCTCCAATAGCTCTGGGAAGACACATATCTGAGGGCACTGGAAGCCTGCCGGCACCTGGCACTGGCATTCTGCTGGTGTCTTCGGATCCCTGAACACAGCAGAAGCCCCCAGCCTCAGCACGAAGGCACCTGGGTGTTTAAACAACCCACAGGCAGCTCTGAGGATAGCCTGGGCTAAGCCACAGCTCAGCCCTGCTTGGTGTTCACAGTGCAGGGCCACTGCTCGGCACCCAGGGGTCTCAAGCTAGCACCCGTAGACATAGAAACATGGTGTTACTGTAACACGGGGCAAAAGTGGAACAGATTCTAGCCCATCTTCTAGTGTGTGGCTGACCTACCTTGTGGAGGCACGCAGTGGGTTACTGAAAGGGAAAGCTAGCTTTAGAAACAGCTTGAGACAACTGGAAAACCCGCAGCACAAAGCCATCTGCTGGTAGACTGGAAAAATGGACCTTGTGCTAGGAGATATACCAAGCCTGCTGACATGAGTTCAATCCCTGAGACACTCACTCGTGCAAGGAGAGAATGGACTCCTCTAAGTTGTCCTCTGACCCATGTACACACATGCACACGTACACACACTCACACACACTGAGACACAGTGCTACCCTAAATAAATAAATAATATGTAATTTAAAAAGCAAGAAATTGTGCTGGAGACATGGTTCAGCTGGTCGCTACTTGGCTAGCATGCAGGGAGCCCTGGGTTCCATCCCCCAGTACCCCAGGCATGGAGGCAGAAGGATCAAGAGTTCGGGGCCATCCTTGGCTACACAGGCAGTTTGAGACCCTGTCTCAAAACATTTAAACAAGAGGTCAAACATGTCAAAAGCCAAATGTTTCTCACTTCCTACTTTGTATTCTGATTTTGTTCAAAGCAGACAGAGCAAGGGGAGCAAGCTGGCGTATATCCGCGAGTGCAAAAGGTGGCCATTCAGGTGCTGGTGTGAGGACTCAGGTCTGTGACAGGCTGAGTCACTGTGGACAGCTGTCCAGGGCTCAGTGGTGTGACGGCCACGCTGGGCGGGGTATCATATCACACTCCCTCTCTGGAGGGGAACCGAGGTCAGCAGAGGACGCATTTGGTGTGTACTGCAGGGATGAGCTTTGTTCTCAAGTCCCCACAGAGAGCCCCTCCCCACGGAGAGCCCTCCACTGGGCGGCACGGGCTGAGTCTCAGGTCTCCCTGCTCTGAGGGCAGAAGGGCTCAGCTCTGCTCCAGGCAGGGGACGCAGCCCTGCGGTTTTCTTCTCATCACTCATCCTTTGCCTCGGGCTTCCCCTCCATTACGTCTCTAAAGCCGAGCTTCTCCAGTGGTTCCGGTGCCATTAGCTGCCTGGAAGAGAGAGATGCTGCCATACAGGAAGAGTGGGCAGCGGGGCCCGGCTCTATCCCACCACGTTCTTTTGTTCATTTACCTGCCCAGGCTTCCAGCACCCCCACCCCTCCACCCCGTTCTAAAATAGGAAAACAGACCCAGAGAGTGATGTCTTCCCAAAGGGCAACCAGCCAACAGGTCAAGTGAGCCTAAAGGTCCCCCCCAGCCACACTGTGGGCCCTAGCTCATAGGGCAGGGGCTGAGGGTGTGGTGGGGTCACATGACCCTACAGGTGTGAGCTGAAATGGGGAGAGCTGAGGCTAGGTAAGTGTCCTCCTCATAGTTGTGTGGGAACCCCGAGGGTCATCAGGGATGGAGAGAATGGGGTGCACAGAACTGAACTACTTGCCTGTGCAGACTTTAGGGGTATACATAGCTGGGGACAAAACCTCTTCACCCCCACACTGTAGGAAGACATTGAGGAGACTATGTCCACTTGGACCTCCAGGTCATTGTGAGAATGTACTAGGGAGACAGGAGGCCAGGGCATGGTACAGAATGGCCCAGCCTTGCCACCAGTGCCATGATCCCAGCACCTCTGAGGCTCTACCACTGTTACAGCTGCCCTGTGAGGACGGCTGGAAATCCAGCACCAGGTGCTCTACCCTGCCTCCCAACCAGCCATCCACACGCAGGGCCCTCATGCTGTGCCCACTCAGGCTCGTCCCTCCTGCCACATTACACTCCCACAGTAAACTCCCCTCCCCCACTACACTCCACTCCCTACAGCTCAGCACGCTCGGGAGATGCTCACAGGAAACCTGGTTACCATCTCAACCCAGGGACGTCTCTGCCTCCTTATTCACAGTCATGATCCCCAAGGACAGACACCCCCAGGGTCCAATGTCCTGATGTGGGAGGAGGGGACCGGCTTGGAGGTCATGCTCTAACCAGAGAGACGCTCAGGACCAGAGTCTCCTTGGGTCTGGTCAGACAGCAAGCACAGGAGAAAAGTGGCTCATGCTCTGGAGATGCAGATGCTCCCACATCTGCCAAAGACAGGGACAGTTGTCTCTTCTGCCCCCCAACCCAGAAGCTCCTCAGGAGCACGGGACTCTAGCCCTGGGAAACTAAGGCCTCTCCCTTCAGGCCATCTGCCCAATGGTTGCAGAGGTGGTACGATAACTGTGGGAGGCTTGTCTGTGGCTCTGAAGCCTACCAAGGCTGCCTCTTACTGCCACTGGTTGCTCAGGGCAAGAAAAGAACCATGAAGAATACTACCAGTCAGGGAGACATGGCTCAGAAGAGCGGCGTTTAGCTCTCTCAGGTCTCTACCACCCTGGGCCCAGCTGCCAGGAAGATCAGAGACTTTGGGTCATGCTCATCTCTGTGAGCCCAGTGTGGGGGCCCAGGCCAGCCTGGGGTATCACAGACCCTGTCCCAAAAGATGAATAAACAAATGGCTGAGGAGCTGGCTTCATTGGTGAAGGGCTGGCTGTGGAACAAGGAGGACCCATGTTTAATGTCGAGCACCCATGGATAGGAGCCCATCAAGGTGTGCTTGTAACCCAGTGTTGGGGAGGTGGAAGCAGGAGGATCCCTGGAATTCCACAGACAGCCAACAGGGCTCATCAGTGAGCTGCAAGCCATCAAAACTGTCTCAGAAAGTGGCATGGGTGACAAACAAAACTCAGAAGGTTGACCTTCACATGCAAAGTGCACACACATACACGTACACACACAGACACACAGACACACACACATGTACACACACAGACACACACACATGTACACACACAGACACACACACATGTACACACACAGACACACACACATGTACACACACAGACACACGTACACACACAGACACACGTACACACACAGACACACATACATGTACACACACAGACACACGTACACGTACACACACAGACACACGTACACACACAGACACACACACAGACATGTACACACACAGACACACAGACACACACATGCACACAGATGAATAGGTCAAACTGAAGAAATGTTCTCAGTGTGCCTCTGTCACCTAAGGGAACACCCCTAGAAAAATGTCCCTGGGATTTCTAAGGCTGGAGACACCGGGATGAGTCCTGAGCTGTGCTCTGGAACCTTCCTGAGGGCTCAGCCATACCTGCCTGTCCCAGCAACATCCATTCCGTCCCTATTGCCTCTGCCTCTCTGGAGGGGGGTGGGCAGGAGGGCTACAAGGTCACGGACAGCTTGTCTGTGGGAACGTCTCCTTTTGTAGACACCAAGCCCCAGGGACTGAGCCTGGGGAAGGCAGGAACCCACTCACATCCTCATTCTAGTACCACTTTGACCCCCTCCTAAAGCTCAGCAGAGTCAAGGAGAAATGGTCGGCGTCCATCTTCTGAGGCCACAGGCAGCCGGAATGAGGCTCAGTTCCAGCCATGAGCCATCTGGAAGCAGCGAGATCAGGAAAGACCGGAGCACCATTTGCAGGGCAAGCCGTTACAGTTAAGGTGTCAGCACCGCCAGAGCTGAAACACCCACACTGTAACCCCCACATGCCTACGCCTCTGGGACTTGTCTGGGTTTGTTAAACACATAGAAAGCAGGCTTAAGTGGACCGGTGACATCTTGAGAGGCTGAGGCGCCTGAGTTCTTGTGTGCACACCTGCGACAGGCTCCCTTCCCTGATTACTGACATGCTAGCTGTTTCCTCACATTTACAGTCTAATGGCTTATTCTAAGACAGCACTCCACAGATTTTGGGTTTTGTTCTGTTTAAAAGTAAACTTGGGGGCGGGGGAGGTGCGGCCACCATCATCCATTACTGCTTAAGTCGCCTATTGTCCTGGTGACATTCCAAACACCTTTCAGTAGACAAGATGATGCAATGCGTGTTCTTACTCTTACGGGCAAGAATGTGAAACGCATGAAAACCTGTTCGCTCAGTCAGCACCGCTGGGAGCTACGATTCTGAAAGCTAAATGACGGAGGGGCAAAGCTCTGAGGAATGGGGGCTGTGGACAGGGCTGTCAATCATCAGCGGTTCCCACAGCAGTTAGCAGCCTCATGCCACCTCGACGGCTAAGCTGCAATCTCTCCCAGCAAACGTCGGCCACTCTGATGTGGCGGGGGAGGGGGAGGGGGCTGGGTTGGTAAAATGGACCCGAGTTCCCTCCCCAGAACCCACATAAAGAAAGCTGGGTGTGCTGGTCTGCTTAATCTCAGCAGACCCAGTTCCCAGCACCCACAGGGTGGCTCACTACAAACACGAGCACAGACACACAC